AACAGCGCTTTTTCTTCTTGAAAAGGTTTTTTCCTCCCACCCTCCTAAATTTGAGCGCACTTAAACATGTAGTATTTCGTTGGAGCCATGATCGTTGCCAAGAAATAATCCACGATGGCAACAAATCGTAAGATTCTCACGTGAGATAACTCGCGAGTAATCGTGAACATATGTTTCGTTCTGAGTTCATCGTGCTCGAATAAAATATGCGGATGAGAAAAGAGAGAATATCCCGAATGACGGTAGAAAAATCTTTTATTATCCGACCGTGTACTTTGTCGTGCTTTTAATGTTTCCACAAAACGATTGCTAAAGAGTTTACTTCTCGTAACCACGAGTGTCGTGTTGGATTTCATCATTTCGTAATAAAAATACAATACAATCAAATGTGAAAAGATTTGGATAAGTTTTCTAGAATAAAATAAAATCATATGTAAATATTGTTTAACATTAATTAATTTCAATTTTCACAAGAGTGGATATAAAATTTTCATTCCATCGTCGTAGAAAAATTCGAGATCTTTTGTACATTTTCATATAAAAATTACAAATTCGCTATATTTTTATTTTTACCAGCGTTTAAATTCAATAAACGAGAAACATTTTATTCGAGATAATATTAAAAATAATCAACGCTATACCGTCCGAGGAGAAGATTTAATTAATTCATTTAGATAGTGGTGATGTATTTTTCTATTTCTTTTTTCTTTTTCCAAGCAACTTTAGTGGACCGTTCCAAACGTTGGCACGTTGGAAACGTAGAAAGGTCAAAGGGTTGATATTTGCTAGCGGGCCACTAGAGTTTCTCTCTCTCTCTCTCTCTCTTTCTCTCTCTCTCTCCAGTAGTAAGAACTTCAAGGTTGAAATCAAGTTGCTTCGTGCAATTAGTTGACGCTAATTGAACTTCGTACGTGCTTTAGTTAAGCTCTATAAAGTAAAAACGTATATTTCCCTTTAGAAGGGAAGGTCGAGTTAAAGTAAGTAATCCTCGTGATTCTTCGTTTATTTTCTATAAGTCAACGAATCGATAATCATTAACAACTACGAATGAAATTGAATATTGTATATATATATATATATATGTTTATTTCGTTTGTCATTTATAATGCGTACGAGAGTTTCTGGAAAAATATCACGTAACGAATAATTGTTAGGATTGTTCGATAAGGCGGATTACTTCGTTTCTTTGTTTTATTTTGCATTATTAGATATTTGACAAACATACGTTATGTTTATCGGCACCACAAATATCTCCCTTTCTCTCTTCCTCTCTCTCTGTCTCTCTCAGTTTCCCTCAATATTGCGGGTTGCACCACCATGCGTGGGTGAGTTGTGTGGGAATGCGCACGGTCTTCCGTAGATTTCCCTTATCCCGGCCATCCGGGCTTCGTCGTCATGACAACACACCCTCCACCCCCTAGAACGACCACTGCATTCTGCTGTTCGAGCACCAGCACGAAATCGTTGAGGGCTGCGAAGGGTTGCTACAATGATGGAAACATCACGCTGCGTGTTCTAATTAATTTCATTGTTTATATCGACTTTCAATGAAATTAAAGTTTATTCGACTATCGATTGACAATTAACAATTGCAATTGATATTAATGATTCTAATAACTCTTACATTTATTTTTAATTTCAGTTTATAGTTTTGCAGTAACCGATCGAACGAACGATGGAATCGAAGTAAGTGAAAGGGTTCATTGAAAAAATTCAAGTTCGATGATTCTCTTACCTATCACTCGCAAAAGTGTCAGAAAACTAAAGGTAAATTGTCGTTTTATCTTGAAAACATGATTCATGTAAAAATAGTTGGATGCTGTTCCAAATAGTACAAGGTCGTCGGATATATTTTATTCCGAGTGGTTTGAAAGTACGATTCAATATTTTACTCGACATGTATTTCTGGGTCACACATCGCGTCTCTTATTTATACATCGAATGTTATATTAAAGAAGGTAGGAAGTTAGTTGTGAATAATTTGAAATTTATCATTGGAAAAAGATTGCTGGAAAGAATGGGTGGATCGATCTGAAAGTAACAAATTCAATTTGTATAACTGTTTTATACAATTTCAACGTTTATTTCGATATATACAAAAAAACATTGCTTGACGTTAAACAGAGGCCACGCACTTCTCGTCACGAACTTTAATTAAATCCTTCCTTCGTCTTTTTCATTAAAATATCTATCTTATATCTTTCATTTTTTTTTTCTAACAAAAGAAAGGATGATCTACAAAGAGTTTAATGCCTACTGAAAACATCTCTGAAGGATGAACGTACAAATGTAGAAACGCGTGTACGCTAACTTTCGACTTTCTTCTTCTTATTCTTATTCATCATCATCATCATCTTCTTCTTCTTATTCTTCATCTTATTATTATTATTCTTATTTTTCATATTCATCATTTTCATTATTTGTAATACATGTACATAAATCGTTTCGTCGTTCACAAAAAGCGTACAAACTAACAACTCGCGGAAATCTTTCATTCGAAGATCCACGAGCGAACGTTTGCCACGCGTGTAAATTCGTTCTCACGCACATTTATTTCTTTTTCTTTTTTTTTTTTTTTACCATAATCGTTCTCATGCAACATTTCGCACATGTGATACGCAGTGCGTAAAATCGATGACGTCGAGGAACCTCTCGAAATTAGGCTGGCTTTAGAAACGTCTTGATTCTTAAGTAAACTTGGCGCTAAAATATTGGCAAATTTCACACTAAATTAAAAAAAAAAAAAAAAAAAATATTAACTCGTCGTGCCAATAAAGATATAGTGCTTGTTATCAAATATCTAGTGATATTTATATAAACGTGTCAATTATAATATCATTGAAATGATCCTAACGAAACGTTAAATAAGTTTATTAATTACGTCTTTGACTTTTTACATTTGTATGATTGCAAGTTGCATAATTTCAATTGTTGTTTCAGTCATAATAATAATAATAATAATCATCCATGAATATAAACAAAACAACAAAACATACATCATCGTGAATAATGACAATTAATAATGATTAAGATATCAAACTGATTAATTATTATGGAGGTTCATCATCGATGTTTACTCGTAATCATTTGCCATTAACACACATTCATACATATAACATACACAAACATAGGCATACGCACGCACGCACACGCACGCATAAATACGCACACTGTTCGAGCATCGAAAATTGAAACGATGGATGGTATCATGAGGCTTTTTTATTATTTTTTTTTTTCTTACAGCTTTTCTAATATCCAGTCTATAGCTCATCGATAGCAATAAGGAAGTATTGTATTTCTTTTTTTTGTTTTTTTTTTTTTGGTTTTTCTTTTATTTTCTTTTTCATTTTTCATAGTGCTCCGAAAACCGAACGTTATTTTATCTTAGCCTCATGCAAAATCGTTCCCACGTACTTTTTATTATCACAAATACGTCTTATTCCCGATTCACTTTTGGACCCACGAAGTACAACGAGGAACGAATTGACGCGAAGCTTTAGTTTTTCTTAATTTTCCATTTTTTAATTTTTAAGTATGTAGAAATGTTTTGCAACGGTCAATGAACTTTGTGAAATTGATTTTTTTTTTTTTTTTCTTGCATGACGCGCTTTAAAAGTATTTGATCGATTTTATTTCGATTGTATTTAAAGAGTAGAAATATTTGAAGAGATAGTCAAATTCTTAGCTACGTTACATGCTTTTATGAGACAACAGACAAATTTTCGTTACGAATAAAATATAATAGAATTCAATTATTATACACTTAGTTAGAGCATGTATAAGCTAGGTAATTGAAATAGCGTATAAAAGATAGTATTATTTTAATCTTGGAACGATAAATATACTACTACCAATATTTGCCACCCCTAAAATAATGTCGTTCATCATTTTTTCTCGCGAATTTTTCTTTACTGACAATTTTCATTCTGATTTATTTATTTATTTTTTTTTTTTTTTCTTGGTTTCGGTGCACACACGTTCGGAATTCGGAATTATTTGTAATTTTTCATTAGGCAGAATTACTCTCTAAATTTAAATCTTTTTTTCTTTCTTTCTTTCTATTTACATTAGTCGTTTAAAGAACGACGCGTATCTAATTTCTCATCATTATTTCTTTTTTTTTTTTTCTTCTTAATTTTCTACATCCTACTATAAATTTCTACAAGAATATATGTATAATGTGTGTGTATATATATATATAATATAATATATCTTATATACATAATGCATCTCTTCTTTTCTATTGATTATACAACAATCAAACTTCCTATGTCGATGAATCTTGCAGCATCCGTTTTTGCTTTGTTTGTGATAATTTAATCTAATAATACAAGCTTTTTTTCTCTCGAATGTTTTAAAAGTACTTAACTCGGTACATTAAGATTACCTAATCAAGATTTTTCGTGTTCAATTTGTTGATTAACCCTTCCGTTACTATTGACCTATATTACGGATCGTTCATACGAAGTATGGAACGATATTAATGTAACGAAAGGGTTAAATATCGGGGTTGTTTAATTATTTCTTGAAATATTTTTCGATAGAATTAGAATTATTTTTTTTTCTTCTTTTCTTTTTTTATTTATTTATTTATTTATTGACATTAGAAAAGAATTAATTCTACTGGTATACTCGAATAATAATTAATTATCTATATCCAATACTTTGAAGCATCATCAATTTAGAAGATAGTAATTAATATCTCGTGCAAAATAGAAAGATGGGGATGAAACGCGAGAGAAATGAAATATAAAGGAGAAGAAGAAAAAGTTTGATCAAAGACCGATTAAATTCGTGCTATGGTCACGAAATATTTTTCGTATTTTCATCTTTCTTTATGAGGTTTACTGAGATTACAAAGACACGTGTATTTGACTATATTTAAACTTTCGTCTGGCATTTATTATTGTCTCTTTTTGGGGCTGGCGTGCTGACACTTGATTATCCTTATTACTGTGTACGTATGTGTCACAATCACTATATCCTCTATATCACATTCATTTTTTTTTTTTTTTTTAATATTTTTTAATTATCTACATGCTAGAACTCTCTTTCGTACACCTAAGAAAAGAAAAATATAGAGAAAGTTTGAAGTATCACTTAAGTAAAGACTATTTAATTAAAAAAAAAAGTATTCTCTTATATTTTTCTTTCTTTCTTTATCTTTCGGTTTCTCGTTATTAAGAACATATTTGAGAAAGTCATTCGATAATTAATTCTTATTGCAAGTCGCGTGACCTATGACTTCGTCATTATTTTCACAATGAACGATTTCAAAATAAGCAAAAATTATGTAGTTTAATCGATTATATCGTTCCGTTCGATAATGTTTATCACACGTTTTACTGAACACGTTGGAAGTGCCGATCGATGCAGAAAATTGCACTCGACGTTCACCACGTCGATTGGACAATGAAGAAGTTCGTTCGTTATACATTACACCATCATCACCACCTACATCACCAACACTATCATCATCGGTTACTAACTTAAGCTTATTCGGCACGGGACATTATTTCGCAGCACACTCAACTTGCAGATCGAGTTCGGCTAAGCTGAACTTGCGTTCCTGCTTGATGGTTCTCAAGCACGGTTCGCTCAAAGATTTAACCATCTCTCACATATTCTCTGTACCAAATCCACCGATGAAACTGGGATCGTGGATGGTGGAATCGCATTGCATTACCCATTCCCAGATCCTTTTGGTAACGACCTTTTGATCAACCGTAGTTTCTAGACCGTAACTGTTAAGAAGTTTTCTCAATTTGTTTTTATTCTCATCAACATTGTGACGATCGTCAACGATCGTGTCCAAATACAAAAGACTGTCACCTCTCCTTGCTAAACTCTCGTTAACGTCTACCGACGTTGAGGTAGCACTGTGACTGATTTTACTGATGCACCATGAATCCTTTAAATATTTATTGATTTCTGTAACGTGCGGTCTCTTTTCAGGTTTATGTTCGAAGGCTCGCCTGAAGTACCTCAACAAACGTGGCGTGAAACGTCGAAAAGTCGGTGGTATTTTGGTGGTCCGTCTTTTGAGCCACCTTTGAAAAGCCGAATAGTCTGGATCTTGGATTAGGTCAGCACTCTGCCAGGGTGGATTACCAGTCAGACAAACGAATAGAACTATACCGAATTGCCAACAATCGGCACTCCTTTTGCAAGCGTACCTTTCGTTTTTAATTACTTCGTAGATTTCAGGTGGTTGAAATGGTACCCAAGTACATCGGATTTTATTCACTAAACTACCTTCGCGTTTGGTACTACCAAAATCGCAAAGCTTTATCTTTGACATGTCTTGAGCAAATACCAACACGTTTTCGAGTTTAATATCTCGATGTGCTAATTGTTTGGAATGAAGGAAGTCGAGTGCCGAAGCTAATTGTCCTGCGATTTTTTTACAAGCATCCTCGCCGAGTCCACCGGCTTTTACGTTTCCTGATAGATCACCAAACGGGGCGTATTCCTGAGCGAAGAAGTAACATTTTTCAGCCTTGAAAGCAACCGCATAAGAGCAGAGTATACTTGGATGTGGACTCAGGTGATAAGAATAATGGAATTCCCGAAAGAAATCTTTTTCAGTGGTGAGCTCCTGATGGACTGCCTTTAAAACCACCCTCGTTTGAGTTGCTCTATGCGTTGCAAGAAGTATCTTAGCAAAACTACCCTCCCCTAAAGTCTTTTCCACATTATACTCTTTTGCAAGATCCAACTCCTCGAGTGGTACCTCTTGTATCCTGTGGATACCCGATTCCTTCTTCTCGTGCAGCTTCATCTATAACATCACAAGGAATAGGATTTATAAATACAAACGAACGTTTATTCCTGTGGATAGTTAAATATTTCTAACTATGATCTATTTATTTAATTGACGTCAATGCAAGTAGTATAAGTAAAGGATATTATAAAACCGCGTTTAATTATCTAACACATTCCGACATAATCTGACATTAACAGAACACCGTCGTTGAACCTTTGCAAAATTGCTCATTCTCAAGTATCAGCGGGGATTAAACTAATTACGCAAATAGTATTTAATCGATCTTCCGGAAGTTTATAGTCACAACGTCATCCTTACGTCAGCGGTTTCCGGTTGGTAGGATTTCTACAACCCCCTGGAGGCAGTGCGATTTAACGCACGAACGGATCGTTTTACGTAGGGCTGCTGGTAACTGTCTAGATGTTGTCACAAGTTTCTTCGTGCAAAAGGGGATCTCGTTAGATCGAGTGTCGTAAGCTTATTGACGTATCGATTTTATTATATATGAATGTCGAGATTTCACCGACGAAGGGAAACGATGAAACACGTCAATGACGCGATACATACGTGAGATAAAGTAAAAGCAAGCAAGGGCTGTTTGATAGATGCCTTCCCCTTTCTTAACACTTGGGAAGAGGATATTTACACGTTTCCGATGCAGCGACAAAAGCGTGCCCTACTTCAAAAATAAGTACTTCCGTTTGATTCTTTGAAATACGATTTTTTTTCGTTCTATCTACTTAAAATACAATAAAAAAAAAAAAAATATTTGTAAAAGAAAAAGGACAATGATTTAATCGAAGAAGAAAAGCAAAACAAAAAAAGCATCTAATTAAATCAATAATCCAATCAAAAAATTTGATCTTGAAAATTAATGACACCATTTAAAATACGTAGGATTTGATTTAATATTTTTCGTCGGTCAGGATTGTTAGCAGTTAGTCGCAATTATAAATTTAGCAAGACTGACATTAATATAAATTTTTTTTGAAAGACGATTGTGGAGGAGGCTCGAATGCACGTTTCCACGTGCGTCATTCGTTCAGCTGTATGCGCGCACGCGATGTAAACCTAACTTCGAAATCGTCGGGAAATCTCTTAGGTAGATTTATTATGTTCCTCGAAACGATTTATAACTTTGTTGATTTACGTCAATTGTCCGTGTTTGTGTGAGTGTGTGTATATGTATGTTCGATAACATCTTCGTAGGTGGAAGATAAAGAGAGAGAGAGAAAAAAAGGAAAGGAAGGAAACGAAACTGTATGTGAGAAAAGATCAGAAGTAAACAAACGCGAAGTAATATTCATTTGAATATAATCATTCAAAAACAATATTTATTTTCCTAATCATAAATGTCATTATAATAATTATCTCGATAATTATGATAATTAGCAAAGTTACAAAAAAAAAAAAAAATAGAAAATATTTTCACATTTTCGTTCTTTTTCTAATTTTCAATTACAATTCAGCGTCATAATTATGTCGTGATAAATTGAATTACGTTGATTTTTTTTTTTTTTTACTGCATTCTATATAAAAACTAAAAAAAAAAGAAAAAAAAGAAAAAGATTATTTTCGAAACTCTTGTCCTCAATTTGAAAAGAAAAGCTTATCTTTTTTTTTTTCTCTCTATGATAAAATTTCGCGAATATTATATATAATATATACGTCTTCCTTCAGTCGACCTAACCCGTGCCTGGGGTGTCTTTGAAAAGCAAAGAAGGAAAGGAGGAATTTCGGGGCCGCGAGTTGCACGGATGGGTGGTAAGAAATATAAAAGAGGAAGAGGAGAAGGTGGATTCCTGGGAAGGAGGAGAAAAGAGCATTGCATAGAAAGTAGAAGGAGAGGGCTGGGCTTAGGATGGGATGTTGGAAAAGGAGGGGGGTGTGCCCGGGTGAACCCAGAACCTTTACAGCCGCCTAGATCAATAGCAAGGACCTCGGTTTGGCCAATGCAATCTGGCTACATGACTGCTACTAGATCTACCCTCCCCCTAACCCACCCCCTTCTTAGTCCACTCGCGACTTTCCAGAGAAACCAGACTAATGTAAGATCGAAAAAGCTTCCCCTGGCATCGATTCAAATAACAACGCTCGCGCAAGATCGACTTTAACTCAATTTGTAATCATTCGAACAATCTACGATTTTGTCTTTCGTACGTTTGTCTTAATGCAACCCCGGAAGTAAGTAAATAAGATTCTTGTAAGATGTCGAATATCTTTTTTTTTCCGTAACCAAATGTTTACTACGTATTTTTAATTAGATACTTTTTTCTTTTTCTATTTGCAAAAATAGTCATTTCTATTAATTTCTTTTACGCTATTTATTTTTTTATATTTTATTTTTACTACACCACCAGTTCACACTGGTTCTTCGGCCTGACAAGCCTTAGGCGCAAGTATATTTAGCATTTCTGTTTACCGAGTCTATTTTAATGCTACGTGAGAGAAGTAAAGAGAGAGAAAGAGAAGAGGGAGAATGATTCTTTGACGTGAATGCGTGTCTCCAACTCTAGAGAGAAAGAGAAAGGGTTGATTAGCATGGAAAAGGAAAATGCACGTGTTTAACGAACGTGTATATTCATGTACACTTTAAAAACAATTATTATTTCATCGTATCAAATGAAACAGTTTGGTATCGTTTAAACAACGTCGCATTCAAGTTGAAACTTTCTTTTTCTTTTTTTTTTTTTTACAATATTTAAATGGATCGTCTGTTTTCTTTCTTTTTTATTATAAAATTATTGGAAGAGATACGAAGAGATGAGATGTCTTGGGAACAACCCACGCAATGAATCAGCAGACCGTCTAACGCCATCGAATGACTAAGTCTTTCTCTCTTTCTTTCTTGATTTATATTTATATTATTTGTATTCAAAAGAAAAATACTAAATAAGAGTCGATGTATAATATATGCGACAGAATCGAGAACAAAATTCTTTGGTATTCTTAATAATTCGAATTTATTCGAATGAAATTCGCCGAAAGGATTTTATTAAACCATACCATACACCATTTTACTTTATACGAGTTATTATAGCCCATTAAAGTTTTATTTGCTGAATTCGAATGATAAATGTGTGTCCCAGAAATGAATAATTATCGATTCGACGCTATGTCGAGTTTATTTTTGAAATAATCCGATGAATCTTTTGACAATTCGCTTTAATTAAATCTCGGTTATCTATTTTCTCATATATATATATATATATATATATATATATATATATATATATATATATATATATGTGTGTGTGTTTGAGTGTCTGTGTGTGTTTATATAGAACAGTGTAATAGAAACGTTTTATTGAAAGAACTAACGATCGATACTCGACAAAATAAGTTTAGTTCCTTTCTTTTTCTTTTTTTTTTTTTTGAAGAGGAGAGAAGAAAGATTAATCGTTCTTTTTAAACCACAAATTTATCTTCAAACAAACTGTTCGAAGGAGACGATGATCGATGATTCTTCAATGATACTTTCCACTCTTTTAAGAATTTTAATTAAAGGTTTCTCTTTACTACCGAAGAGAACAAATGTAAATCAATTAGTATCCTTTCCGTGTTCTTTAGAAGAATTATCTTAAGTATAATGTCTTCTTTAACAGATTGATATCTTAAAATATTACCATTCGCGTATCCTATGCCATAAATTAGTTCAAATCATTCGTAAATGAGATGTCAATTATCGATTATTAAATGTCAAAGAATTCAACGACGTGTTAGAAATATTTTTTAATAAATATAAATTATTAATTTTTCTTCATTTATATTATCTCGTTGGAAGATTCTATTATTGGTACGTTGGTATCTTTTGCGTTTAAATAGCGCGTCACTTAAAATAGAAGGATTTCATGGAAAGTGGCTAAAATTAGGGCCACTCGTGTTCCACGATTGTCATTATTCCTATAACACGAAAGGTGAGAAAGAGAAGGGGAATAGTGAACAATCGATTATCTATTATATTCAAATCATTATTTCGAATAATTGGGGATGACAGTGATACGCTTTTTTTTAAACACTTATCAAATGTTTCTATATATGGTCGAATTATAAATTAAGATTAATCATTAAAACAAATAATTCGTCTCTCTTTTTATCTACAGTGATAATTGCATAATATAATTCAAACGATTGTCAAAAGAATATATTTCTTTCTTTTTCGTCAAAACTTACCACGATCGAAGGGGTTCGGATGAATTGTCACGAAGATATTAAATAATTTTCACTGCACCAAAAATAAAATACGATAGTTTATTAATAATAATCAATATCGAGATCACTCGAATAATTGTTCCTTTTTAACACTATTTATTATTGTCACCGATTAATATATTCAATCTTCTTTTACATCTTCCACGAAACTCAATTCGTATTCTTACGATCTTTTTTTTTTTTTTGTTATTTTTTAATTAATTAGATCAATCGTATGAGAAAGTTTCTTTTTTTTACTTTTAAATAACAGAAAAAAAGAAAATCTCAACTTTTCGTAGCACTTTGATGATCGTAGGTTTGTTTGATCTCAACGATCGATAAGATCAACGATAGATCAATGATTATTAGATCAACGAAAACAAATCAATGTTGCGTTAATGAGATAAATGTTTATAAGAGAATAACCGATAAGCCGGTAATCAGTTAATGAAACAGACAGAGAAATATATATATATATATATATATAGAGAGAGAGAGAGAAAATAGTGCGTTCACATTTTCAGTTGTACGCGTATCTCGTGTCTGAAGGCACCGCGACGCCCAGCGTCGCTTTTATAGACACACTGCCATAACGCGCAGACGTGAATCGAGAAAGGCTATCTACGAGGATGAAGTAAGAAGTCTAACGCTCGCTACCCTTATCCATCCCTTTATTTTTTTTTCTCCTTTCTTTTTTATTTATTTCCTTTTTTCTATCCCCTATCTCTTTCTCTTATTTTTATTTTTCTCTTTATTTATTTCTTTTTTTTTTTAATCTTTCTTTTTGTTAATTATTTAATCAACCTCATCGTCCATTCTTTTTTTTTTTTTTTATCGCTTCTTGCAAAACGTGAATACTTTATGTTCATATTTTTGTGACTTCTAATCTATTCCTATCTCATGTTTTTTTAAAGATTTTCTTATTAATTCTTTTTTATTTCTTTTTTCTATGTTTTTAATCTACATTGTAAAAAAATAATTTCAATCACAAGAGATGTTTATCTTTTTCTTTTTCATTTTTGCCCTTTTATTTAAATATAAAGAACTAATTTTCCGTATTTATTAAACTTGAAAAGTTTGTTAAAATAAATCAAAATTGTTTTTCTATAATAAATAAGTGAAACTTGTTTGTAGTTAAATTAAAAGTACTCCTTTTATTTTTCCTTTTTTTTTTTTTTTTGATCGAATTAGACAATTTTTGTTTGGAAAAAAAAAAGAAGTTTGATTTATTGTGTGTGTGTGTGTGTGTGTGTGTGTGTAGGAAACTTGTGAGTCAACAAATTGATACAGGAAATATGAAAACAATTTCTACAAAATTTGTCTATCAGTTAACAACGCTTATTTACCTCTCTCTTTCTCTCTCTCTCTCTCTCTCTCTCTCTCTCTCTCTCTCTATCTTTATTTACCTTATATTCGTGATTTTCAATACTTCAATGAAAATTCATTTTTAGTTTACTCACATTCAAAGACTTGCGTTGGTCGTGAAGTTTTATATACACGATTAGAAATCTAAAATGATATTTTCATAATCGAGAAACGTGTTGTGCAAAGTAAACCGATTCGATAGAAACTCGCGGCTTCTAGGCGTACGTTTCGATATTGACAATTTGTGGCTTAAACTGGTACCAAGCCAAAGAAAATATCTAAAGGGAGATCGAAATTCGATTTTAGAACATGATAGCGCGATGCATTTGCCTTACAGCTGTTGACAATAATCAAAGATGATTGATTTTTTTTTTTATTTCCATTACACATTTTCCTCCTTTCTTTTCTTCTTTCTTTTAATTTCAAAATTTATCTACCATAAGAAAATAAATATAAAAGAATATGAACGGTACAACATACTAACAAACATACGAAATGATCATGAAAGAAAAGATCAAAAATGCATTATAAATTGTTTGTTTCTCAATTGAAACGATTCGTGATTTCTCGTGGAAAAAATATTACAAAAAAAAAAAAAAA